TGGTTTTTTGAGACAGGGTTTCTCTGTGTAGCTTTGCGCCTTTCCTGGAACTCGCTTGGTAGTCCAGGCTGGCCTCGAACTCACAGAGATCCGCCTGACTCTGCCTCCCGAGTGCTGGGATTAAAGGCGTGTGCCACCACCGCCCGGCATCACTTCACTTTTACTTTATTTTGAGACAGGGCTTCTAGCCCAGGCTGGCCTTGAACTCATGGAGTCAAGGTTGACACTAAACTCCTGATTCTCCTCTCTCCATCCCCTGACTGTTGGGATTACAGATGTGGCCCCCAAACTCAGTTTAGGTGGCACTGGGGATTGAACCCACAGCCTCATGGAGGCAAGGCAAGCACATCACATGACTGAATACAGCCCCGCCCACTTCAGAAGGCGGAGCGAAGAGGAAAGGAAACCTGGGGAAGATGGGGATAGCCTGAACATTCCTGCCACTGTTTGGAGTCCCTGGCCACCACCCTCTGGCTGCAAGGCTGGTCTCTCCTCCAGTTCCTCCTCTGTCTGATCCTCGGCAGCTGTCTCTCACACCTGCTTTGTGGTCCCAGGTGAGAAGCGTATTTAACTGCAGCTGCCAGTACAGTCATCGTCATCTGAAATGCTTGGGAGCAGAAGTATTTGGTTTTGCAATATTGCATATGGGTGATGAGCTACCTTAGGGATGGGCTCTGACTCCACCAAGGGAATTCATTGATGTCTTTTTATATACCTTATACATGTATCCCAAAGGCGAGTTTATGAGATATTTTCCATGCACTTTAATTTTTTTACTGTGACCTGCGCTGGGAGGTCAGGTATAGAATTCTCCCTGGTGTCACTCCGAAAGTGTGATGTTTAGTTTAGTTGTCAACTTGACACAATCTGAAATCACCTGGGAAAAGGGTCTCAGTGAGAGACTGTCCGGATCAGGTTGACCCATGGACATGTCTACAGGGGCCTGTTTTTATTGCCTTCATTGATGTGGAAAGACCAAGCCTGAAAAAACAAAAAACAAAACAAAACAAAAATGACAGTGGGTGGCATTGCTTTTGGGTTCTGGCCCATGTAAGTGTAGAGAGGTTCTGAGCACCAACAAGCATGCGTGCTTCCATCCTCTCTGACTGTGGATATGACTAGCTGCTTCTCATTTCTGCCTTGGCTTTACTGCAATGATGGACTGTAACCGGGAATTGTGAGCCAAATAAACCGTTCCTCCCTTAAGCTGCTTAATGTCAGGGTATAGTATACAGCAAACAGAAACAAAATGAGGACACAGAGCATTTCAGATCTGGGCTTTTCAGAGTAGGGGTGTGACGTGCATATTACCATGACTGGCAACTACTGGCCGGTGCCCACTTGGAGCTAAATGTCTCACCTCCTCCCAGCCCTGTATCAGTCCTGTTACCTGTCTCCATTTTTCCAGAAGAGGAAATAGTCCCCAGAGAGCTTCAGTGCCCTGGGTTAAATTTCCAAGCTACTAAAATAGTGATACTGGGCACTGAGCCTAGGCTATCTGAGTCCTACTCTGTTCTTAGCAAAGTGAACAAGAAAGATGGTGTGCAATGGAGGTGTAGGAGCTGCTGCTACTATAGTAGGTGTTTGTGTTAGTTGTCAACTGGACAAAATCTAGAGTCACCTGGGACCTGGGTCTCTGAGTCTAACTGTGAGGAATTGTCTTAATTAAAGTGGGAAGACGAATCTTGACTCTGGGTGGGGCCATTCCAATCAGGGAATGCTGGACTGTATAGAATGGGGAGGGTAAGCTGAGTGCTAGCATGCTCTCATTCACTTATTGCTTTCTGCTCTTGACAGTGGATACAATGTAACCAGCTGTTTCAAGTTCCTGGGGCCTTGATTTCCCCATGAAGAACCGTAACCCAGAACTGCTGGCTAAATAACACCCTCCACCCCAAGTTGCTTTGGTCAGAGTATTTTATCACAACATCAGAAAAAGAAACAAAGACAGGCTGGGCGTGTCGGCACATGCCTTTGGTCCTAGTACTCAGACAGAGACAGAGGCAGGTGGATCTCTGTGAGTTCAAGGCCAGCATGAGCTACAGAGCGAGTTCCAGGACAGACTCCAAAGCTACACAGAGAAACCCTGTCTTGGAAAAAAAAAAGACAGAAATCAGTATCAAGATGTGTTTTGCTGCTGTGTAAACCTGATCCTGTGGCTCTTAGGCCTTTGGAATTGTTTTGTAGGAGGAATATGGAAGGCTTTGAAACATTGGGCTACGAAAACCACTAAATGCTGTGAGCTCTGCCATGATGGACTGTAACCTGGAATGGTGAGCCAAATAAATCCATTCTTCCTTAAATTACCTTTGTGAGACTATTTTATCACAACAACAGTGAAAGAGACTAACATGGTCCTTGATTTATACCTTACATTTATGTGCCAATAACTATAGTGATATTTTATTTGTACTGAAATAGGATTTGTATGTTAATAAATAAAGTTGCCTGGGGGTCAGAGCTATTAGCAAGCCATAGCGAAAGCTGGGCGGTGGTGGTGCACACCTTTAATCCCAACACTTGGGAGGCAGAGCTAGGTAGATCTCTGTGTGTCCAAGGATACAGCCAACATTAAAGACACACGCCTTTAATCTCAATACCAACCATAGAAGACTTGGAGGTCTGTACAGTGGAAATGGGTAACTTTGCAAATCCAAGCCAAATAAATATCATTAAAAAAACAACACAAAACAAAACAAAAAAACAGGGAGAGTTTGCCAGAATTTGAAAACAGTTATTGAAGACTGCCAGCGAGGAAACCACTTTGAATTCTCTTTTGTACGTCTTCATTCTTAGTGAATCATATTTTTCCCAAGTTCAAAGAAAAAGATGAGAGAGTAAATGAGAATTATTGGCTTAAAATTTGGATTCACAAATGGAATGGCTTATCTTTGGTATTCTATCTAATTGTCACTTTAATCACAGTTGTGGCCTCCAGAAAAGGGAAAAGAGAAGCATGGACACATTCAGTAGAATCCCAGAGGACCCTTAGAGTCAGGATTCAGCCTGGAATGTTGTGGGTATGCACCCATATGCATTTGCTGGTGGGGGCCGGGATAATCGCCGGTGTGGTTCCTCAGGTGGTTTTTTCCTAC